TCATCAACTTCTTGGGTCTATTAGCCGTTCCTTTGACACCGGACTTCTTGGTAGCGACCGAGGTCTTCGCAACAGACGCTTGACGACCGCCCCTGCCGGACGCGATAAGCTGGTCAACTTGAAGCAATCTTTTCCAGATGTGCTTCTTCACACATTCCGAAGCATTGCCATCATTTATACCCTCGTCAATACAGTGGTCACGACGATCATCAAAATACGCGTTAAGCTCATCTAAAACAACGCTACATCACCGTACGATGCGCCTACTGTCAAACGTCGGCTGGTAGCCCTTGAGTCTCTGAACCTCATCAATAGAACAAATGGGGAGTGGGTAGGCAACGATGGCGGAGACGAGTTTGGCGGCTGATCGTACCTTCCCTGCTGACCTCGAATTGAGATGCAAACAGAGAGCCAGATTCGCCGGGTGGGCGCCTTCCATCGCCGGATGGGCGCCTTCCGTCGCCGGATGGGCGGCTTCCATCGCCCGGTTTTATTCACTCTGCAGACTTGCCGAAGTAGCCCGGTTACACGCTGGGGGTGTGGCCAGGACGCAGCTGCGTCAAAAGCAAAAGGGTTATGAGGGGCGTGATACCTTGAGGGGTATGATACCGGAAAGAAGGCACATTGGGCGAGTTCTTTCGTTCAAAAAGAGACAATAATTTAATGGCTATGGAAATGCTTGTGCCATCAGTGCTTGTGCCGCCGTTGGTGAGTGCTTGTGTTGTCGAAATGCAAACGGTTCTTCACGGTCTGGGACTGGGAAGGTGTCCTACGAAAATTTTTCGTTTCTTGTTGTCTGCAGCTTGGCTCGACGAGTCTTCTTCCGGTCTCTTTTTCTGCCGCACCAAAGTAAAGTCGGGTCGTGTGAAATCGGCGGTTTGAGTGCAGGCGAATCCCGAAGTTCCGGCGCCAAGTTCTGGGAGCAGTCCGAAGAAGTCGAGCCCCTCGTGCCGTGTGGTGAGCACCCCGTTGTTCGAGGGGACGAGCCCGTAGTATCGACAGAAGTTGTAAACTTTGTGTACGTCCTCGAGGGCCCCAAGCCAGCAGCTGAGGAAGCAGGGGTCGGAAAGAGGCAAGTCAGTGGGAGCATTCAGGCTTCTCTTTGTAGACTCTACCAGCTTGTGGAGTGGCTGCTCACCCAGTGTCCTGTAAATGAACGCCGACATATTAGCAGTTAGCAAACTTACAGCATTCCAGTTGATGTTAGCTCTGTCTACCGTCTTTATCCATTCACGAAGCTGCGACACAAGCACGATTGACTTTCGCGCTTTCTCGGACATCGGCAGTCTCTGAAATACGGGGGCCAGGCCCCCACACAGTCTGTCCGTACAGACCAGTCCACTGTGGTACGTCAGTCCTAGATCCAGCACCAACTGTTGAAGTGAACCAGGAGGTGCAAATCGTTGAAGAAGCGTGGCAAGGTACCATACGTCAGACACGCCTGAAGGTCGACCAGTGTCTGACTCTCTTGCCTTCAGCAAAGCTTTCATTTGGGGCCGATCCAACGCGTCATACAAGACACCCGCCAGGAAACCCCATCGCCACGCAATGCCTTCGTCTCTCGCGCTCGGCCCCTGGGAAGAAGATTCCTCGGAAAAGGGCCCTACAGGACGAAAAACACTATGGTCTGCTTCTCCCATCCGTTCTGCGATCCGTTCTGCGATCCGTTCTGCGATTCGCACCGGGTTCAAGATCTGCTGTATACTCCACATAGCTGCTATCGCACCTTCCATACTCACCCTCGGTCGCGGGGGATCCTCGTTCAGTGCGTCCTGAATCATTTCAGCAAGAAGGCTCTCACTGGTTTCATTACTATCAACAAGCACATTGTCGTCGTGCACACTGTTGTCAATAGGCACGTAGAATACGTGACCACAACACCCAGGCTTAGACGGCACTCCGAGAGTTGTTGCTAGTCCACATCTGTCATCTGCGTTTCGCGAGTTGCACGCAGCGTAAAACACACGATCGCTGCTTCTGATGTCCTCTAGGACCTTCACCCGCCCGCGCTCTTGCAACTGTGTATCAGCTTGTCGACCGTCTTCAATGTTGTTTGGCAGGTTGGTCGACAGGTTGTTTGGCGGGTCTTCGTCGGGGACGTAAAAGACACGTTGATAAGAGGAGAAATCGATGGCGAAGCCTAGGCTGCTGAGCCATTGTGCGTCGCCTTCATTGTCGGAATTGGCCTCCATTACACACGCCAGAAACCATTGGTCGTTTATCCCTTCGGGTCGCGCGATGTCGACGAGGCAAGTCAGGAATTTGGAGAGAACTTCCGGACTCAACTGACGCACCAACAATCCGGCTAGGTCGTCCCACACTTTTTCACAGGACCCGAAGTCCGGCTGCCTCCTAACACCCCCGCCTAACGCACTTAGTAAGTGTATGAGTCCGCGACGTACGTTTGCTTCCCGGGACCTGTCAACCGCACTGAAACTCCCAGTGGAGGCACCTAATCCCAACCAATGCTCCGACCCACCGGATCCAAAGCCCATAAGTAGAGATGCCAACCACTGGCGATCGCCACTACCATCGCACACGTTCGACCTCATCACCCTCGATTGGCCCTGCCGGTTGGAAAATTTTAATAATCATAGACAACGCAGAGCAACATCAATCAACACATTCCTCTTTGAGAAAGGAGAATAAGAGACAAAGAGGGTTTTGAAGTAACCAGAAACGAGAAACCATGCCCTTATTAACCAGAAATATATTAAATGGTGGACGACCTTTGGGTATCTAGAATAGTTATTTTGCACAATCTAGGGGGGTACTGACGAGCAATGCGCGTCCGGAAAGGAGGGCTTGCACTTGGAGGAGGGAGCGCATCCTTTTGGGTATCTTTCGACCATTGTGTTCGGTACGACAGCAGAAGGTACATAGGACTCCCCGCTTAAATGGGAGAATGCGCTTCGCAGGGCCTGACCGAATTTCCACACTGGTGTGTGCTCGCAGCTAATAGGATGCTGCATCGAATTCCATCAATTCCAGGCTGTGGTCGCCAATTGTTTGTTTGCCCACACAGATGCAAGCCGTCTGGATGAGTTTGTTACCGGCACCACACTCGAGGCGCTGCTCTGCCGAACTCATTCGCGCAAGACGGCTCGCGTATCGCAGTCGAGGTCGCTTTTGGGTTTGCTCTCGCTCCACCGAAGGTTCGTGCCACGGTACTCGAGGACACTCGAGGACTTTCGGGGTGTATACTGGAGCCGTTGTCTCATCCCTGACTCGGCGCCTTCTATCATTGGCGTCCGGTGTGCCGCCGCGGAGCAACTCCCTCATAGTTATGACCTCGACATCTATGCGAGCAACGCCGGCGTAGACCTCACCAGACATCGGGAATGCTCCCCTCATCGTGTCGATGTGCAGGTCACGAGAATGGTGTGCGTGTACATCGGTGCCAAGTCCGAAACGAGGAATTGGTTTGTGCAGCCGTAGTAGCTGGCTATGTACAACATGTATCTGAGGAGGCGATCAAGTTCACTATGAAAGCCAAGCATGGGGTCATTGCCACCGAACTTTCTCCACCAAGCTAGCACAGAGTACTTATAGAAGTCGCTGTCTCGGTCTGTTTGTGCGCGCACTGGTTCCTGCACGTTCGGATCGGCCACCGTTGCCAGGGCGGCGCGATACCGCGCAGTTAAGTCCACCTGATACCCGACATTTCTCCTAGGCACTATGTTTAGAGACACGGGTGTCTGTGGTAGCAGCTGATCCCGGCCGTACGCGGTGTACATAAGTTGTTCCGCGAGCGGACCCAAATTGACGTCCATTTCTCACCTGCTTAGGAGGTGTATCGCCGCGAAATCATCTATGGACACTGTGGCAACTGAGTCACCGTAGAGTGCAATGCTGTTGTCAGCATACGGGGAAGGCCCCACTAAGCTACGCCCTGAAACAGTGACTCCGTGGGCTCGGAACAGCCAAGTGAGGAACAAGGGGTCATGTGATATGTTGTACGCCTATGGTACAGTATAGAACAGGTCAGTCATTTCGGCAGGAGCCACTCTCGGTCGTCTCGCAGGGTCAGCCCTAGCCACCAGATCTACTTCATCGACCTCATCGCCACCTACTTCAGCGCTATACGCATCCCACTGGTGCTAGCTCAGGGGTTCCCATCCGATAGTGTGCCAGAAAGGGGGTGTAATAGGCGACATCTCGTCCTTGACCCGTGCATGTGTCACGATACCACGTTGCTGGTTCTGGACCGTGACACCAAAGCAGCTCAGCCAGTGCCTGTGTCGTCCAAAGAGAAGTGTATTAAGCGGTGATTCTAAATCGCATCAAATCCGATGTTATGGCCCGATATCTATCAGCGTCCAGTCCGCATGCCGCTGACTACCAAACTACAGTAGACAGGCAGCGGGTTGTGCGCAGACCTGAGCACAAATTGGGTCCGGACGGATTCGTTATGACCATTAGCGAACCCTTGACGAACCTAGGTTCATGTGAGCCTTTTTTCGAAATATGTTAAGACGCAACCGCTTGCCTGGCCACCATTGTTTATCTGGCCGTGGTTGGCCATGATTAGGATTTCGACCATACTACCTGTTCAAGTACGAAAAAGGTTGCAGCACACACGTTTGCAACAACATTCCACGGCGGCACGCGATCGTTTATGACTCGTCCGAGCCCCGTGTATCCGAACACAGGCCATCCGAAACCATCTTCCGCCTTTTGCCGTACACACTGTGGTCATTCTTTCGTGCCGGCAAGAGCAAGCCCAGCGGGTCGTGGGAAACCACGGAAGGGGGCGGACTCGCAATCTCTCCCAAAACTAAGGCGTGGAGTGCCAGGGCGTGTTGGATCGCGGAGTTCCACGCAGCTTGATGTGAAACGGGCGTCAGAGTCACGGTGGCGGGCGGCAAGTCGGATGGGTCTGGTAGCCACACCTTCTGGGGAGCCATGGGAGGTAGAGCCACGGCAGGTGGAGCCACGGGAGGTAGAGCCACGGGAGGGGGAGCCACGGCAGATCTGGCGACGGGAGGTGGAGCCACGGCAGATCTGGCGACGGGAGGTGGAGCGACAACCACGGGAGGTTTAGCCACGGGAGGTTTAGCCACGGTGGCCGCTTCATCAGTCACGGGTAGAAGGCGGCTGAGGCGTCCGAAAAAGTCGTCTCCTTCGGTAAGAACATGCACTCGCAAGGTTTTGTGATATTTGTGGTAGGGGAATTTGAGGCCTTTGCAAAAGTGCTTGATTGTTTTGGGCCGATAGATGGCAAGGACTCGTAGTAAGCAAGAGAGTACAGCAGGGTCGGAGAGGAATTTCCTGCAGGGAAAAAGCCGGCGGGCGGCTTGAGCTAGGTAGCGGAAGCGTTGTTCTCCGAATGCGCGGTACAAGAAGGCGGAGAGTTCGATGCCGAGTTTATCTGTCCATTGCAGCTGGCGTTCCTGTACGGCTTTGTATACGGCCGGTTTATGGGTCCTGGTTTGTTTGGCCCACAGGAAGAGGTGAAAGAGTTGTGAAACCGCACCCACTAGAGTTATGGCCGAGTCTTCCATGGGGGGTAGTCCCGTGAAGCGGCGGCCTACATTTTCCTCGTAAAGGCGCACGCTGCTGCAGACCCCGGCGTCAATCCGAACATGCAGCCTTCTCATCCAGGCGGCAGCGGAAGAATGACGCAGGAAAGTTTGTAGAAGCTTCGCCAAGAACCATGGGTTAGTTATTCCGGCGGGCCGACCAATGCGCTCCTCAACCCAATTCAACAGCTTTAAAATCCTGTCCCGATCCAGTCGTTCATACAACAACCCCGCCACTCGGGCCCACCGCCAGAGGCAGTGATCCGAGTTGATGCTAACACACTTTGCACGCCCCGGCGCCCTGTCTGGATTAAGCCGGGACCTCACTCTCGCCTTCAACATGGTTTCCAGACGGTCCATACACTCCCGATGCTGCGTGTCTCTGATAGGCAACACATCTGTTGGTTCCCGGTCTGCGCCATCCGGCCACAGGAAGCAGGAATGCATTATGACACCGAGCGTTTCTTCGTCTTCACCAAACCCTTGGTCGGCACTCCCTTCAACGATGCGCCCCGCCTCCGGCATCCCGTTCGCAACCCGGGTTTGATCCGCTTCTAACGAACGCATGTCCAAGTCCACGACCTGCGCTGCTTCGCTACCGTAACCACTCAACATAAGCATGCGAGTTGACCTCGAGAGTCCTTCACTTCCGCTTGCATTGGCCTTCATAGCGCGGCCAATTATTTTGCTGATCACACAGCAAAATTCCGCAAGTGTTTGTTTGCACACACTATGCCATTCCCCTTCGAGAACATATCCCCTTATCACGATTAGGCAACAGCGCTAGCTCTCTACCTCTGTGTAGGCCAATAATATGCACCCCTTCCTCCAGAACCAGCAAAATTTAGCCATCTTGCCTTCGAGAGTATTTTTTGAAGTTTGAGTGGCGAAGTAGCAACCTCCCAAATCCTTTACATTTCGTAAACCGATAGTAACCGGCCTCCTAACGGGCGGGCCTCACGAGAATGTGATCACACACACACAGCTGAACACAACATTCTACAGCCGCCTGGTTTCTTATCAGGATGGAGTCTGCTACCATCTGTGTCCAACGAACGCCTTTGTCCGGTCATTCGCCTACGTTCCTGGCCGACTCTGTGGGAGACACGAATCGGCCGTGTAACAAGCATCCAATATGAGAACCACATATCGAGTGTGATAACAAAAAGTGAGAAGGGACGGATCAGAGAACCGGCAAACTCGGACCCAGAGTGTCCAAAGCTCATGCCGCTCATAGTGGCCTCGAGAGGCGCTCATAGTGGCCTCGAGAGGCGGTCATAGTGGCCTCGAGAGGCGGTCATATCGGCGTTGAACCCATCTTCCTCCTCTTACCATGTGTGCTCTCGTCATTTTTTGTTGATGCCTGTCTGCGTAAGTGTAGAGGCTTCTCGGAAACTGGGTCTGCCA